GGCCAAACAGCTGCGGTACAATGTGAATCAGCCAACGTCTTCTCGTTAGATTGACATATAAATCTCTTCACGTCAATATTCTCCCAGGATATCCTTCAAAACCCGCATTTTCTTCTAATATGAAATAGGTCAAAAGGACCTGAAATAACTGGATAGATTCTAACAATATATATTCCGATAAATGCTGGTAGGATTACACGATCGAGAGATTAGTGGCCCAGAAAGTTACGACGACAACCGACTAAGGTACCATACCTGATGGGCGTCTTCTCTTTTTCACGGCAAAAGATAAAACCGCAAGTAATAGGTCGACACAGTAGCTGAAGTCACGCTTATACCCACCAAACATAAAAACATGAGACATTTCTGACGATAGCAAATAAAATAGCGAACAAAACATACCAAATAGTACCAAGTAACACAAGTCTATTTTGGACACCCAAAACATCTCAAGTGAATTTTCATCATAGCAGATCTGCCCTGCACCATCCTTGGTACCGATTTTTTAGGTCACCGACTCTGCGTGTACCCCGTGAGCAATCGCATCACCAACAAAGCGTGGAGGAGTCGCATTTACGTCAAACCGGCACCAGAACGTTTTTCGTCCCCGCTACTCACGACTGACAACAATCAATTAAGGTAAGTTTTCATGATACAACCAAGCTAATAGTACATCGTGGCGCAGCAAATCATACTGTAGCATATTATATTGACACTACTGATCTTCTAGTCTTTCAAGGGCCATGGCAACTTACGCCAGCTAAACTGAGAACAGAGAATCCTGTCTTTAAAGACGTAATGGATGCTTGTACCATTCGCCAATCAAAGAGCCCATGAGCGTCTGCATTTCGCATGGTCCTGAGCAAACAAAAGGGGCGGATAGAGACGTTGTAGAGACCGCCGAAAATGCAGTTAAGACACCTGATCGATATCCTCCCGCGAGTAGCCGACTCTGTTCTAATCGTAAAAGGTAAAACCATTTTCTCAAAGATAAATCTCAAGTATACTTGTTACCAGATGCCAGGACAGCCAGCACACATCTGCAAAACTGCCGTTACCACTCTCTTTTTAGCCTATATGAGTTCGTCACAATGCCGCTTCGTCTCAGCAACGCTGGAACGGCGTTTCTAAGTTTGATGGATGAAGTCACTAGAGGCTTAGATGATCTATTCGTTTAGATTGACGCCAGCCTCAGCGCCAGCAGTGGTATTGCAGTACATCACCAGCCCACGGCAGGTATGCCTAAAAGGCTAACCTATCATTAGCTGGCAATAGCGCCTGAGAAGTGCGATTTTGGCGATCCCACGTTAAATTGCCTTAGAAACCACATTTGATAGCATCGAATGCTCCCGTTTCAAGAGTAGGTAAGGTGAATCATAAATGTTTTTTTTCCTTTTATCGTCAACTGCCTAAGCGTTTTCATCGGCACGGTGCATTTCTACAGTCGATTCGTTTTCAATTTTGCTGACATTCTTAGTCCGCAGGAGGACGTTTTAAGAGCTAAACACGAGGAGATTGTGCTATCCGAGTACGCAAAAAGTCATGATGCGAGGTAAGACAGCATTGGCGAACGCTACGTTACTAGCACACTTAAATCCCAAAGCCGCGCTACGCCTAGTAACAGATGCCTTTGACAAAGTAATTGGCGGAGCCACACCGCTTTCCCTTTTTCTCACGCAAACTAAGTGAACCCGACACTCGGTACGGCACTTTAGCCGCGAACTCTCATCAAGCAAGCGCTCACGAGTAGGCAATTCTACATCCTCACAGAACACAAACCTATTAACGGAGTTTGCGCGAACACCCCCAGACAGGTATTCATCACGCGACACCCGTCATTTCGATTATATTTCACAGTTCATCACTGATGTGCTCAACATAAAGGGTACGGACAGCGTGATTCCGTCTCGCGCTGAGCACACCACCGTCTCCGCAACAGCAGACAATGACAGAAAAGCAGATGGACGCTCAGAGGAATGAACACAGTCAGGAGACGGCTAAGAAGTGGCCGAGACTGAGTATGACACAAGTTGACATCCCCGAGAGAACCAAAACTTGGTGTGACATGTCTTCTTCAGGCATACATCGACATTTAATATCACTTTCCATGCGGAAAAGATGTTTTAAACCATCCATGATTGTAAACAAGCCAGCAAATGAGCTTATAAAGAGCTCAATGCAAACTGTCTTGTCGGGC